TTTTTTCTACCTTTTCTACCTTCGTCTTTGAAACAATCTTTTGTACCCCCCCCTCTCAACTTTTTTTCACTTTGATGTTCCTCACCCCTGTGATGGCCGAAGTCAACTAAATGGCTAATGATAACTATCAAAACGCCTGCCATTTGAAATAAATAAATAAATTTATAAACTGAATGAGTCAAATTTTATGTAGTTTAATAGAGATGCGATTCTTCAAATACTCTAGTCAGTGGTAACCAGACAGGTCACTAACATTCATCGGCTACTCACTTCCGTCTTTTCCGCTGCCTTCCACCATTAAGGCTGACTTTTTTCAAGAAGCCCTCCTTAAAACATAAATTTAAAGTTCTTCCAGTTTCCTCTATTATTGGTATTGAATTGATTCATTTACAGCCAGAATCTTTGACAAATGTCTGCATTTGTCTCCAACCGCCCCCATCCAGTTAATAACTTCGCTTGCACCTTCCACAAGAGCACATTTTGTGATTGAAGTTATAACTGAGCAATGTCTCATCAGTCCAGCCTCACTTATGCTGGTATCTAGTGGAAAATTCGGCTGGGTTAAGGCTCTTGCCACTTTAAATCAATCGTAAATGAGGGTTTCTACTTCATATCTTTTTGCATTTTGGAGCATCAATATATATATATATATATATATATATATATATATATATATGAACGTAAAATAGCATAGCTATCCTTTCTTGTTTCTTAATGCCAATGAACCTTTTGCGAATAGAAAAAAATCCATTGTAACCGTAGCCACTGTGTATTGTCCTTTTTTCTTTATTTTTTAATTTTATTGATATGTGAACCTTGGTGCATGTGCAAAATTAACGTAATAAATAAAAAGTTATTAATAAGTTACTTTGAATCCATTCCATTTTATCTTAAGTTAACGACTACTGCAAATTAAAATAACTCTGAAGTAACCAAATGCACTAGTACCTACGCACATTTATTTATTTCAAATGGCAGGCGTTTTGATAGTCATTTTCAGCCCTTTAGCTGACTTCGGGCTACACAGAGGAGAGGAGGAACATCGAAGTGAGAAAAATTCGAGAGGAGGGGGGGGGACAGAATAATGATTCACAGATGTGAAATGGACAGAGGAACACAAAGGCAGAGAAAAGGCAAGATGAGTACTGTGGAAGGGGTCGAATATTACATACAGAAGTCAACTGCCGGTTAATAGACTTTTTCCCTTATGAGTATACGTTGCTCAGGGTGCACCACGTGGAGGTAAGTCTATCACACACCCTGTATCTACGCTCATAAATTCATGATCTAGGTTCTGTCCTGTTGCGAGTTGCTCACCTACTGACTCACAAAGACGGTAAAATTTGGCAAAGCCTTTTACAAGCTCAAGTAGGCAGTTCAGGTCCTTAACCTCTATCTCCATATTATGGGGTGTGCGATAAACTTACCTCCACGTGGTGCAACCTGGGCAACGTATACTCCTACGGTAAAAAGTCTATAAACCGGCAGTTGACTTCTGACTTCAAACTACAATGGCCCGAATGTATGCCATATTCTACTACTTCTCACAGTACTCATCCTACCTTTTCTCTACCTTTGTGTCTGTCTCTTTTACATCTATAAATCACTCTTCTGTTTCCTACCCCTCGATTTTCTGCTACTTTGATGTTCCTTCCCCCTGTGAAGCCCGAAGTCAGCCAAAGGGCTAATGATAACTACAAAACGCCTGCCATTTAAAATAAATAAATCTCTATATTATTAACTCCTATTGGTCCTTGAAATTAATAAATTGGACATGGAACCTATCAGTCATTTAACAAAGTGGCTTCAGTGTTATCAGCACCACTGAAACCCATCAAATTCTTATCCAAAAAAATCACTGTACAATTAAAACTGCACCACCGTTTTTTCATTCAAAATTCTCTAAATTTTGCTACGATGCGATTTAACTTGTACTGATTATTTGACATTAAAAACTGTTGCAACTTCCTACCATGTTGGTCCTACTTGAATTTGGTCTCTATTGTCGTGTATTCTGTTGCTTTGGATGTCGGTCTGAGAGCCGCCAACTTGGAACCCGGATATTTGCCTATGTGCGTAAATAGAATGCGGAAATTAAAATGAATATCAATAAGGGGGTTGGAAACCAATTGATTAATCTTCATTGAATTGCCTCCGTTACCATTCATTATTACGGGTGCAGGCCTTGAGTGTTAGCCATTTCACATCATCATGTTTGGTGAATCGGCTTAACGCTAGAAGAATCGCATTCACTTGCAAAATCTCGATTTTTTTGCATGACCATAGTAAAATTTACGACAAATATTCTAATTAATTCCAATGCAGGTTTCTTTATTCACACCTAATTAAATGCTCATCTTTAATAAAATGATGGTATATTAATAATAAATAAGACGAACTAATTAATGATCAGCTTATTTTGAAAAAAATTTGTATTTAAAAATTTTAAAGGTAGTAATTACATTCTTTGCCGGATAATATTAGAAAAAATAAATGACTAGGAATATGAATACTATTGATTCTACTTGACTAATTTTAACAGTTCTATAACCACATTATCCAGTTCTGACAATGTTTGGAAAGATGCCCTCCTTCCCCCCCCCCACCCCCCACCCCCACCCCCCAATTTCAAAGTTTATATTCAAAGCTCCGTGCCATCATATCTACGAGCAAGTAATTCTTTCAATCCTATTAAATTTAAAAAAAACAATAGTATTAAACTTCTTGATTTCAGTAGCTTTAAAACTAATGAGGTCAGTTTCAACTTTATTGGTGTGATTGTGAAAGTTGTGTCGTCATTCACTCTTTAAAATTTTGTCAATGCTTTTAAAATATCTTCTTTCTTTACCCACAGTTAATGAAATGTTTTTTTTTACAGCGCAGTGTAAATTCGCTCATGAAAGCTAGCATTCTGGCTAATATTTAACTACTTGATCTCAAAATCAAATTTCATTCCAAAAGGAAGCATTAGCAACTGGAGCACTTCGTGTTGCATCTCGTGGGGTGCACGATAGAATTACGTCAAAGTGGTTCCCCCCCCCCTGGACAACGTATATTCATACGGCAAAAAGTCTATTAACTGGCAGTTGACTTCTCACTTCAAACTACCATCACCCCACTGTATGTCATATTCGAATATTTCACAGTACTCACCTCACCTTTGTTCTACTTTTATGTTTGTCTCTTACATCTTTAAACACTCTTCTGTTCACCCCCCCCCCTCTCGACTTTTTTCAATTTGATGTTCCTTCCCCTCTGTGAAGTCTGAAGTCAACTAAATGGCTTATAAAGCCAGCCATTTGATATAAATAAATAAATAAATATTTCATTGATTGATCTAATGAGATCTTGGAACTAGGTTTAGAAAATTATCCTGTCTTTTCTGCTTCGTACAATGTCCTTTCTGTAGGTGAGAATTGTTCTTTAAGCCAGTGTTTCAAAAAGGTCTCACGTAATTTAATTTTAGTATCAGATTATGAAATATTGATTTATCAATAAGATTTTATTATCATGTTTGGTTCTTTGGAATTCTTGGTAAATCCTTTTCCATGACAAATTAATTTCAAACCACTGGTCACCTTCTCTTGGTCAAGTTTGCGGAACAATACGAACAGCTGATTGAATTAATCCTCCAATAGTTCCTTTCGCCAAAACACCGAGTTAAGCTGAAAGGTGAGCATTTCACGTGGACAAAAATCATATAATTGAATGAAAACTCGCTTTAGAGATGATTTATCAATCGAATTCGCCCTTTTTTTAATCAATTAAATCACATTGGTTAGGTGGATAGAAGTTAACTGAACAGAATAGAAAAGTTGTAGTGAGTAAAAGTGCACAACTCGTCATCTTTCTGTTTAATTTCGCTTAAGCTTTTCGATTGAATTAGCGGTGTAGTTGCATCTCCTAAACACCACTTTCGGCTCCTCACTTAGGTTGATTCCGATCGAGCTGCATGGACGAATTATCAGCAGCAGCAGCAACAACAGCAGGTGCATCCTATCAAAGGACCATCCAACGGCATGGGAGTTATGCCTAGCATTCCTCCACCTCCCCCCTACCCACCACCACCTCTTCCCTCTACTGGGGGACCCATGGCTCCCCCTTTTCCAGCTCCGCCAATTCCAACTGGAGGCCAAGATGGGCATCGACACCTTTCAGATGATGGCAGTCTACCTAGTGGCGGTAGTAAGTAGACTGTTTCATATTTAGTCCAGTTAATGAAAATGATCACCTGGAATTGGGGGTCGTAGGTCTTCACAAATGGCATTTAATTGAGAAGACCAACATGTGACGATTTCTTGTAATATCTATGTGTAGGAATAACTCTGCAAGTTCTAGTTAAGGTATTGTCATTCATGTGATTACTACCGCTTTAGCCCTAACACAACAAGATTTAATAGGACTATAACCAGAGAATGAGCGTATTTGTCGTTTGATAAAGCCGGCTGAATTTAATTCACTTTGATTAATTCGTATTCTTCTCATCATTTTGGGATGCTAACAAGCTTGGTGGGTAAATTGTTGCCGCAAATACAGTTTTAAGCAAATTACACTTTTATGCTGGTTGGGGGTAAATTCGAGGCGTATTGCTCGAGTTTTATGGTGACTCAGTCGGCTAAGCATTCAGTTGAAAAAGGGTAGCATTCGTATTTCTTTTTAATTAATCTTAGATCCAATTTGAGATGACCATTTGCCGAATTTTTTTAGTGATTGTGGAAAATTAGTTGATGCGAATTCAGTTCCAGCAATGGTTTCACTTTAATAGTGATATTATCTTATACGGTTTTTAATTGACTATAAAATCTTTCATCTGCGTGATAGTAATTTAGGCTATTATTAAGTGACTTAGGAGGAATTCCATTACGAAGTGAGTTATAAATTAGTTCAAAAAGGCATCTAACAATGAGGAATAATTATTTAAACTATGAGTAAAACAGGAATGGTTTGCTCTTTTGCTTTATTCTTTAATGCTCCACTTATGCCCCAATATTCTTTCATTGAGGTAAAGATTCACCCATTTTTTCTTCCAAGCTCATTCGCACGACAGGTAATGAGAACCAGATTTGTCGGATTGCTTGGGGGTGGGTGGGGGTGGAGGGTGGAGGGGGGGAGGGGAAATAGAGAGTTACCGTCCACTCTGTTCTACTCATACCCCTACTATGGGCTATGATTCATCGGACTAAACTGGAATTTTATTTCATCACCACACGTTACCGCAAATGCCTTTTTTATTACTCCTATGTGGAGGTTCCTTTTTGCTCAAAGGCTGAGTGCTCACATTGAGTCATACATTGACCTTATTTAGTACCGCCAGATTTATGCAGGCTGTCATAACCACTAGTTCGCTTTGTTAAAATACAATTTCTTAGGAAATGCTATTGATTCATTAGTGAGGAAATTTTCGTGCTTCCCCGCTGAGAGGAGAGTTTGGGTCACTAATTAGAGCTGAGAGAGCAACCCTGCACGAAGTTAGTCACTCACTCCAGGTGCGGAAAGGAGGGGAGGAGAGGGGAGGGGTGGGTACAGGTTTTCCTTTCGTCTTTCAACATCAAATTCATCCTCCTATCTCCACTCCAGCCATATGTACACGTTATTCCAACGGTTGCTCCATTTTGACCCTCTTTAAGTCCAAGGATTCGGGTGTCTACCTCGTCTTAATTTACACTGACATCTCGTATTCTGATCCCTAACTTCACTCCTTATTGCCACATCACATATTTTGGTAATATTTATTTATTTCAAATGGTGGGCATTTTTTGGTTATCATTAGTCCTTTAGCTGACTTCGGGCCTAACAGAGAGGAGGAGGAACATCAAAGTGACAAAAAGTCAAGAGGGGGAGGGGACAGAAGAGTGATTTACGCGTGTAAGAGACAGACAGACATAAGGGCAGAGAAAAGGTGAGGTGAGTACTGTGGAAGTGGTCGAATTTGGCAAACAGTGGGGTCATGGTAGTTTGAAACCAGAAGTCAATTGTCGGTCTGTAGACTTCTTTTTGCCGCATGAGTATACG